GTTATTTAAGCATAAAATTGACAAGTAAATCAGATTTAAAAAAAAAAAGGATTCTGCAGTGTTTAGCTTCTGCTGGTTCTCCAGCTGGCAGAGCTTGTATCTATCCCTCTGTAATAAGGCTGGAGTTCCTGCTTGACCAGTGCCTTCTGTTAGGCCATTAGCAAAGACCTTTTGTCCCAAGCCAGAAACATCACAAAGTGAGATTGTGAATTGAAGCAATAATTTTAAAAACTAGTTCTTGCTAAATATTTTTGTCTCACCTGCTTGAGAAATTGTCATTGTTCTTTTAAATGAATGTAAGGCTTAGATCTTTCCAAGTTCCCATGCTCTGCATTGCTTTAAAACAAGAGGTTATCTTGTTTTAAAGAAAGAAGCTACATTTCTGGAAAGTTCCATCTGGTTTTGTAGCATTTTCACATCAGAAAGATGCAGGTATTCCATTTAGTTTATAAAAAATATCATCATCTGTTTTGTGGAATAGAAATACTTGGTCTAAACCAGACAGAAGACAGTCAGGAGACTTGATATTGTGATATTTTTTTCACACACTAATACGCTTCAGATTACTGTCATGTAAAGACCTAGGGAATGTAAGGGTTTTTTCCCATTTTTCCAGCTGCAGCCTCTGGCACTGATAAGCTCCGGCCATGTTTTTCATACATGTTACTGTGGCTTTGGGAAGATCTTTGAAGAAGATTTCTGAAAGTGTACAAAATGTTAAAAAGATTTCTAGAAATGGATATTAAGTGTCATCAGCTGCTGGAACACATCAGAAAAATGTTAGAAAATGACTGAAGCCGATCAGTGATGGAACAGAAATTTAGGCAGTCTTCAACAATGTCATACATGGAGACAAACAGTGACAACAGCCACTGTCATAAAACAAAAAGGAGAAGATGGGTTACAGGCTTTTATTTTTGGCCTCCATGCTTCTCTGAAAGGTTTTTAATCTGAGGGAACTTCAGCAGACCTTTGCTTCTGTATTTTTTTATTCCACTTAATAAAGGCAGTTAAGCCAGAGAAAGTCTGCCTGTACGTATATAAATGAGTGAAATAATGTTTGTGAATTCATCCGCAAATGTACATGTCCTGTGCAAATTTCAGATGTAGCTTTCCTTCCTGTGTAATTGAAAAATATAAAGTTAGTGCCAACATCTTCATGGCCAGCAAGACTATATGCCTTTTGGATAGAAGAGGTAGATCAAGTGCTTACTGCTGCCGTGTGTGTAATACACATCTCCAGGCTCATAATGAAAAATACCAAAAAGTGGTACATTTACAGCTCCCATTATCTTCCTGTGCTCTCCACACTTATTGTACTTCCAAAGAATTTGTTACTAGCCCCCTTCATGTTGTTAAAAGCTTCCTTTTTGTCCTTTTAGTTTGCCCCTGAAGCTGAAGACTCATCCTACTGGTACAGGGCAGACAAGGACAGATCTTTAGCTATTCAGATAGAAACTCTCTCTATCGGTTGCAAAAATGTGAAAATCAGTTTTTCATATGCAATTGGAACAGATATTTTAGAAATGTCTTAAAATGGAAGGTTTTTTTTTTCTTAAAGGCAGATTTTAGTTTTGACAATAAAATAGGATTCTTCTTGCTTAGGAAGTGGGAATTGGGAGCCAAGCCTCTGCAGCTCCTAAGCCAGCTTGTTTCCAGGCTGCCTGACTCTGGAGCCAGCTGGCTTCAATGCAAGTGGCAAGAAGTGCGGCAGGATTCCAGTACGAATTTGTCAAAAGTTGCACACTGTGTGGAAAATTCTGATTGGGGTGGGGGGGGAAACAACGTATTTTATTCTCTCGTGAAAACTTCCAGCCAGATAGTTCTATCTGTTTGCTTATCTAGGAGGTGTTCATGAAGAAAGAAGTGTGTTACCTAATGCAACAAATGAAAATGAAGCTAATTTGAGATTTTGCAGGGAATAGGTGCGTGAAATATTTAATCATGTCATAAGTTTCATCATGTTTGGTGTTAATATCTCCAGATTATCAAAGCTTTCAGGATGTGAGCAATAATACGGGATAGTACAAATCCTAACCCAGAATGCAAAAAAAATGCACCCCCTTGTACTATTTTTCTCTCATAATTATCAACAAAAGAGGATATAAGTGGGATTTTTTAAACTTTTAGTACTGAATCATATTATTTCAAAGATGCTGATATCCTTCTTGTTAAAAGGAAGCAAGAAGTGTGAATTTCATAAGGATTATTTTTATATATAATAATGCCTTCTGTCTTCAGCACTTGAACAGCTTTAGATAAATTGCCATTGGCAGACTTAATTGGTGGTTTTGCATTTCATTGTTCTTTTCAGTTTCTAATTATTTTGAGTAATCCATCTAGCTGTAATTTCAATTGGCTTCTGCCAAAAGATTATCTATCAATCAGTTAAGATGGTCTCCTTGACAACAAGATACAGTTCTTAAAAGAAGTTATTTCACCTTACCTCTTTTTTTGATGACTAAAATTTATATAGCAATCTACTCTTCTATTTCTCCTTTTTTCTGTAATTAATTCAGCTGAGGATTTGTTTCCAGGTGTTGCTTGAGAACCTGAGCCTGTAGCTATTGACTGAGTAGTTTGGTTTAATTTCTCCTTTCTTTCCACTCTTTCTTTGCTTGGACCCATGCCTTATGCTTTAAGCACACAGGCTGACATCCAGTAAAACAGTCTTAGTTTTTGTTCAAGTGCTGTCTATTTTTGTCGGATTTTCTTCTACAGTTCTCTTCCTAGCATGGAGACAGCCCCACATTCATTGTATTACTTTGAAAACTCCCAACTTTCACTCTTCTGTTTAGGGGCTGGATCTCTTCCTATTTAAAGCATGTCATAAATCTAAATCACCTTTTAAAAATAGAAGGCTTTTGTATGAGTCTGTAAAATCAACTGGGTACTTCCAGTTTATGAAGTGTACCCTGTTGGATGTGATCCTCTGTTGGATCATCTTTCTCAAGGGAAGATGAACAAGGCTTCTGAACCTCAGATGTGTTTGAGACTGAGAAGAGTGTTGTTTCTGCTTTCTGCTTGCTTCTTAACTCAATTTCTGAGTACAGTCAGACGTGCTGTTTTGTGGCACTGTCACTTGAAATGTGGAGTTTATCATAAAACTAATTTATGCTAATCAACTTTCTCAATTTCTATTTCTCATCTGCAAATAGTAAAATTAATCAGATACTTATTTCAATAAGTGTACCTCAGAAAACTCTACTTCAACTCAAGAAACTGCATATTTGTAGCCTGAAGAGCAGACAACAATTTGTAAGGAGTGGAAAATGGTGGTGGTATAAAAATCAGTAGTAATTCTCCTCATCCTTTCTGTGCCATTACCTGAAATACAGCAGAAAATACTATGTGTGTCCATCATAAGAGAATGCTGCAGAGTTGGAGGGACTTGTAGTGATGATGATTGCATGAAAAGGCTGGTAGGATGAGGGTGGTGAAAAGGTAAGGACTGTCTACGTTAAATAGAGATGAAGGCTAAAAAGGAATATAGAATAATGAATGATTTTGAGTAGGCAGGTTGTGGCTTTCCCTATCATTGTATTCAGCATTAGAACATGGGGATATTAATTGAAAACTTATTAATGGTAAACTGTGTGTTGAATTTAGATGTGGGCCTTTTTGTTCAATGAGACTGTGAGATTTTTACTATAGGAAGATATTAAAGTCAAGAATTTAACGAACTCAAGTGAACTCGACTGTATCTCACTAAACTAATTGCTTAGTAAAATGTGGTTAAGGTAAAAAGTTATGCTTCTGGCTACCAATCTCTAACCTTTCATGATTGTAGTGAGACCTTTATGGGAGGAGGTTTTATTATCATACTTTTCATATAAATTCTTAGACTTTTGCCTGAAGCAATTTGTGCTGCCTGTTTCAAGGAATGGAATGCTGAACCAGATAAAGGACAAGAATTATACTGTGCTAGATATATCTTTTTATGCTCTTTAGGCTTTAGTGCAGTGTGAAAAAGCTGTTGTACCCTGCAAAGTTGACCTGAAAATTTTAGACTTCTTGATCTGGAAGCATTCAGCATTCTTAAACTGTCTTAAGCTGTTAAAAAAAGTTAATCAAACATGGAGTCTAGTAGCACTAGTGGAGTGATAGAAAAGGCTTTAAAATTTTTTTTAGTTTGAATATGTTTGACCTTTTTCTACTTTAATTTTGAGTGAATTCTTAAATTCCCAGTAACAGTTGTCCCTGCTAACTTCTGTTAAGAATAGCTGAAGAGGGGGAAAAATAACAGTTAACTGGCTGGAGCTACTTTTTAAGCAACTGAATGGTTTAAGAACCAATTTTAAGGAAGGGAGAGGACAACTGAATAACTGAAAAACAACTTGACAAAGATATGTGCTCTATCTTAAAAGAAAATGTCTGGTTCTACAACTAAAACGTTAAATTTTGTCAGTTTACTTTAAGTTGAGGCAATAAAAAAAAATGAGGAAAAATTACACACCTTCTACATGTTGTAGGGATTGTGATATGTAGTATTTTTATGACCTTGGAGAAGGTCCGAGAGATGCAACAAGATCCAGATTTCCTGTTTGATTTGACCTATATTAAATTGCAAAAATGCTGGTTAGTTCTAATGAATCAGCCATTGTTCAGATTGAACTACAGGTTTAAAACGTATTTGTCAACAACATACAGAGCATATTCTTTTTCTGGAATCTTTTTTGCTGTCTTTGTTTGTACAAAGACAGCAAAATAAGATTTAAATACTTCTTGAGGACAAGTACTGAGATGAAGCAATGCTGAAAACGTTGAATTGCTACGACAGTTACATTTAGTATAATGTATTTTAATATTTCAATTATTTTAAAGAATCTTTAAATATAAAAGCTGTTTGAGACCAAGCTTTAACCTATATAAAATATGTTAAGTTAAGGTATTCCTTCTAGCATGCATATTGAATATTCTATTTTTCCTCTGCTGCTTTAATGCTTGTTGTGGGATATGCTTCACACTGTATGTTAGAGTACTTCTTTTCCTCCAAACAGAACAGCACTTTTCTGATGTCGTACTTAGTGAAGAATACCTCAATCTTGGTGTAGAGCAGGTGTGCAGTCTTATATCCAGTGACAAACTCACAATTGCCTCAGAAGAGAAGGTAAGACCGCCTGTATCCCAGTATGCTTTTTGTTCTTTTGGATGAGAGCGCAAGCTGCTCTCGTACACTTGTTTGGATGCGTTCTTTGTTTCCTCAGTGAAATTAGGCATGTATTGTGCTCATGTTTAAAGGATTTTTCCCAAAAAATGTTGTCAGTCCAATGATGAAAATTAATCTCAGCTCTTAAAAATCCTAAAACTATATTAAATCACATAACCCTTTGTTCTTTGAAAAAAATTGAAACAAGATTAAATGGAAGTTCTTTCTCATCTCCAAGCAGAACAAACAGAACACATGTTGTGAGTCACATACACAGGAGTTTCGTTTACCAAGGGATAAATAAATCAAAAATAGTAGTTTGAAGAGCAAGTATATACCGTCTACTAACTTCAGCATCAGCAGTCCCACAAAGGTATTAAAACTCTGTATGTACATGTGGGCTGTTTAGCCTAACTGAACAAATGTGGGTTGCAAAGGAGATGGCTAGGTAGCTTGGGGTAACCAAACTTGAGTTTCAATATGTGTTGGCTCACCTTTAGCTAGATCTCGTTCTTTTAAAGCTATTTTTGAAACTCTACAGTGAGCCCAGTCCCTCTCTTTGAACCTCTAACGGTTTTCAGGTTGTAGATTTATTCATTCTGAGCTTTTGAATCCAGTTGTAATCAATTTAAAATATTTTGGTTTTCTTTTTTCCAAGGAGTATATAGATGTACTAACACCTCTGTTCAAATGAGGCTAAGTTGTATTCAAAAGCACATTTGAATACTGATTTGTACAGCTAGGTAGTGTTTTGTGTTAAAACCTTTTTGAAACTTTGAATCTAAGAACTGTCTGCTTGAATTGCAACTAGCAAAGTCATGTTGCTGTTCACGTAATACCCTGAAGGTCCGGATGCATCACTTTGATACATATGATGCTGCTTCTGAGGAGTATAATTAAGGTTTTCATGCTCTAGTATATAATGACCTGCTGTGCAATAAAGGAGAAACTAGGCTTGGGATCACTTCTCCTAGTAAGGCTCAGTGATAAGAAGTCATTTGAATGATGATGTGGCAGGTCGATTCTCCACGAAAGGAAGAAAAGTACGAGGATTGTAATATTGCTGCTGCTGTGGTGTTTGTTTACCTAGTTTTACTGGATTTTCAGCATCAATGAAATTACTGTGCGCATTTTGTCAACGTAGCACAGCTATCTTTGAAACACCAATAGAGAACTGATACAAAAAGAGACTGGCTAATGCATCTTCAGAATTTTGTAGTGGATAACTATGGAAATAACGGGAGCTGTAACTGCTGTCTTTTCTTACGCTGGCAATTTTAGGATAAGCAAAAACTATTTTTGGAGGCACACTGATATTTTCATACTTATCAACTTGTAAGTCAAGGGACTCGCATTTGTTTGTTTTCTGGAAGGTATTTGAAGCAGTGATAGCGTGGGTAAACCATGACAAAGATGTAAGGCAGGAGCTAATGGCACGCCTGATGGAGCATGTTCGGCTGCCTTTGCTTTCCCGGGAATATTTAGTTCAGGTAAGCAAAAAGGAATACTGATTCTTCTGCACGTGAACATTTCTGTTTATTTTTTTAATGCCAGATGGCTAATTTTAAAATTAAACAACAGTGTAAGGTAGTGTGTTACTGACAGTAAAAATAAACAGACAGCTACTACCAAAGACACACGTGCACATACACACGCAGAATCAAATGAGGGATTGCCACATAGAGGATGACATATATAAGTAATTGATCTATTTGGCTAACTACTTGTTATACCACACTAGTAATCTGGACGATATAATTCGCTAAGGTCAGGTTACCTTTCATTTGTAATATGACCTTTGATACAAGTTTTGTTTTCATAAGTGAATTTTCAACTTAAGAATTTTATCTATTGCTTAAGTTGGTTAGGAATTAATGACAAAGGAAACATTCCTTTACCAGGTTCAGATATAATAAATTTTTAAAAATTTTATAAGCTCATTTTGAATATTTTGGTGTCAGGACAAATATTTAGGATTGAAAATATGGGTTCACTATTAGCATTGGTTAGTAGGTATAGTAGTAAGTTGGTAGGTGTTTATTTTAGAAATTCTGCTTTTGTGATTTGAATTTCCCCTGCTTTGTGTGGGTTGTTTTGGGTTTTTTTGTTTGTTTGTTTTTTGGGGGGTTTTTTGCTGGTTTTTTTATTGTTTGTGTTGTAGTTTGTTAAATTAGTCTCCACTACGCCCCCCGCTTAAAGTGTTCTGTACTCCCTGTAATTGAAAAGTCAAGAAATGTGCCTGATCATAAGAAAAGTGATTTACCTTGCCTAGCATTGTTTCTTCCACTTATGAGTTGAGAACCCACATCTCCCTGATTTTTTTTGTTTCTAGTGACTGCTTATTGTCATCACGTAAATTTGTGTCTAACTGTGGTTAAACGACAATCTAAAAAATCAGATTAACCTGCATTTGTGTGATATAGCACAGGCTTTATTACACTTCAGATTGTGATTTGTGTTCTACTTCCTTAACATGCTCAGACCTTGTTAAACTTCTATTAATAAACAGAGAGTTGAAGAGGAAATATTGGTTAAGAACAGCAGTGCTTGTAAGGATTACCTCATTGAAGCTATGAAGTATCACTTGCTGCCAACTGAGCAACGAGCATTGATGAAAAGCACTCGAACAAAACTGAGAACACCTGCTAGCCTTCCAAAAGTAAGACCTTTATTTTTCCAATGTACTTATTTCTTCAAACTCCATTTTAAAATATTTCATGAGAGCATGACTGTCACTTGGGGTATTCCAGTCAAAATTTTTGTACCAGGATTATTTATCACAAAAATATAACAAGTGATTAGCTTTACGCTCCATACTACTTATGATATAGATGTTGTAGTCTCCAACCTATGCACAGCACCACCACTACCTCCCCTTCCAATAAACATTTTTAATAAATGTGTCAGCATTTGAGAAATATACAATTATGAGGAAGTAAGCCTGTTTTTAAAAAACAAAAATAATCAAAGCAAAACAAGGACTGAAGCCTCTGGGTTAAGGCATTTTATTAAATTTTTAGCTAAATATTGCCTTTTGTTCATTTTAGGAGAAAACAAAACAAACATTAGATATTAATCTTCTTTCCAATGGAGTAAAGACGTTTTCTCATAGTACTGTTATGGCAACTGCAATAATGGAATAAGAGATTCCATTCAGCAGATTTTGCACGTTTCTCTCAAAGGAACCAGATAAGGCTGTTCTGTGATGGGTGGTCACAGTTCCATTGAACATCATAGACACTGAATTCTCATACCTGAGGTCTGAGTAGGATGTGAAGATACAGCAGGATCTGACTTGTTGAAGGGAGCTGTACTGAGATTCTAACTGCGTCCTGCTTTTCTACCTTAGATATTTCCTCTAGCCACTAAAATTACAAATTGCATGTGTTTAAAACAAAACCCACCAAACAAAAAAAACCCCACCCCTAATTTTGCCTAGCTTGCAAGACTCAAATTTCTAATTTAGGAGAACCATCCTTTAATTATTTCTTGTACAGAAGCTTGATTCATTTTTTAACACTTTTTTGATCTTTCAGGTGCTCTCATATATGCAAATAACTAACAGATATTATCATCTCCCTTTTAGTTGATGATGGTAGTTGGAGGACAGGCACCAAAGGCAATTCGCAGTGTTGAATGCTATGATTTTAAAGAAGAACGTTGGCATCAGGTAGCTGAGTTGCCTTCCAGAAGGTGTAGAGCAGGTAAGTGATGCCTAATATTTTTTTTTTTTTGTTTTGGTTGGTAATGCGTCAGAATTTAGGCGTCTGTATAAAGCATCGCACATTCTTTGGAACAGTACTTAAGACATTTATCTGAGAAGGGTTAAGCCTTGACTTCAGTGATGATCCTTAAAATTTGAATTACTTGATAATCTGGAACAATGCAAGTTTGGTAACTTCATCTTAATTTGTGCTTCAGTTTGTAATCTCTAGAATAAACTGCTTTACTTCCCATAGATAGAGAGGATAAATAAAGTTCAATATTAATGCATTATAATAATATTTTTACAATTAAAATAAGCTATTATTATTAAATAAGATGAAGAAGGTGAAGAAGTGACCAACCGATACTAAAAATGTGAAAATGTGACCTTAAAGCAGCTGAGATGTCTAAGCAAGAAGAAATTCAGCAAGGATGATATTCAGAAGTGTGAGCTATTAGTAACAAAAAGTGTCAGAACTTCTAGTGCTTAATCTGAATGAAGTGTGCCTCTGGGACACTGTCAAAAGCCCAATAGTGTAGTGAGTACTGTAAATTGTGTCAAATATCTGCATACTTAGGAGAGTACAGAATAGAATTAACAAAGACTAAAACGCTCATCTTTCCTCCCTGATTCCCTGCTCTAGGAATGGTGTACATGGGAGGCATGGTTTATGCTGTTGGTGGTTTCAATGGTTCTCTGAGAGTTCGCACAGTAGATTCCTATGATCCCGTGAAGGACCAGTGGACAAGTGTTGCTAATATGCAAGACAGGAGAAGCACACTGGGAGCCGCTGTATTGAATGGCCTTCTTTATGCTGTGGGAGGATTTGATGGGAGTACAGGTATATTTGCCTTTATATGCTGATGAGCTTTGACTACTCTTGACATAGTTATAACAAATTTGAATGTCTTTTTTTTCCCAGTAGCTGTGATGAAACCAAGCATGAGGGTAGCTTGGTATGTTGTGGTATGGAATGTGCTTCAGTGGTCACATCCTTCTACCTGAGTAGTGGACTGTTTGCTCCCATCTGAGTTTAGGCTTAATGACTAGTGAATCTTTGACAAGTTCCCTTTCAGTATTCTTTCTACAGTCAGAGTCCTTAACTCATGGAAGATGTGAGCAGCAAAACTACCTGGTCTCTTTTGTCCTGTTTGCGTTTGAAATACATGTGTGCGTTTTCATGTAGTGTAAACAGGATTACAAACAACTGTCTCTGACCTGTGGGTCAGACATACACTGTTCATTCTCTTCACAGATGCATTAAACTGTTTGTGCAGAGATGATCCTTTTCCTTAATAACTATTTGTAGGAGAGAGCACTGTGACTTAATTAAAAAGAAAGAAAAAAAATCTAGGGAAGAATTTTTCAGAGTTCCACAAAAGCTTTTATTAATTTGCCCTTTTTCAGACACCAAGAATTGGTTGACTCTAATTGCCTACATAAAGAACGTCAGTTGTGCCTTTTGCACAGTAATCAACAGTCCCTAAATAATTTGAATTTTCAGATATGAAGAATTTTCCAGAAGGCAGACAGTGTGTTGCACCTAGATTTATAGAGAACATAATGTTATATTGTCTTCATAGGTTTATCCTCAGTCGAAGTTTACAACTTAAAGACTAATGAGTGGTTTCATGTAGCTCCAATGAACACAAGAAGAAGTAGTGTTGGCGTAGGTGTTGTTGGAGGTAAGTTGACAAATGATATTAAAAAGGAGGGGGAAATGCATTTACCCTACTACCTGTTCTCACTTTTGAAAACACATTGCAGATTTATGTTTTTGCTCAACCTTGTAATTCAAATGGTATGAACAACACGTAATCATTCTACTTGGTTTTGATCAGCTTTCAGCATAGTTGTTCTAACTTTTTTTTCAGAGCTTCAACTGTGCCTGAGGCCAGCTGAGGAAAAGCTCGCTAAGCGTGCATGCTCTAGGTTACACATGTCAGCAAAGCTAGAAAGCCTGATTACTGCAGTGATGACCTTATAAATTGGTCTTTAGTGATGTAGCACTGCAGTATTGCCAACTCTGTTATCTGTGGCTGACTTTGCTGGTTGCATGCTGGGGATGATCTCAAGGACAGTGCCAGGAAAACTGCTGACTTTCGAGTCAGCTTGGTGGTGAACAGCCTGGTTGTCACTTGCACAATGCAGAGCTGGGCTGGCTCTTGGGTCTTAAAACAGCTTTAGGTGTGTGTTTTAACTGCATAGGAACCACTGCTGTTTCTGATCTGAAAATGCAGGCTGTACAAGTAATTTTCATCAGAATTTTTGATATTTCTGGGAAGCCTATTTGCAAGTTTCCAATGTTGGACATACTTGAATTAGCTTGAACAATTCTTATTAAGACCAGGGTAAAGTACCTTTGTACTTCAGCCAGGCAGTTTAAAATCTTTTGACTCACATTGTTCATTAGATATTGGCTGCCTTTTACATCCTAAAAATGAGAAAGAACTACAGTGTATTATCTTGAACCATTTACAAAATAGAAACTCAGTAACTGACAACAGTTACCGATTAGTAGCTGATTCAGAGAATGATGACTTCCCCTCAGCCTGTGTACCAATATAATCTGTGTGCATTAGAAATCTGTAGGTTTCTGTTGGTTACCCTTCTAGGTAAACTGTATGCTGTTGGTGGGTACGATGGGGCGTCACGTCAGTGCCTTAGTTCAGTAGAATGCTATGATGCTAATACAAATGAGTGGACCTATGTTGCAGAAATGAGCACTAGACGGAGTGGAGCAGGTGAGTGGACAAGAATCAACTATCCTTGTAAAACTGAAACAAATTTGTGGTTTTAAAATGTATCTAAAAATGTAAAAGGTAAGCTAAAGTCTGTGTCTGATGGAATGCGTTAGTCTTAGATGACGGATATATTGCAAGTTATAAACATAAAACTGCCCTACAGAGTAAGATTCAGTCTGTTAATAGTAAATATCTTTCCTTGCTTTTTCATACTTTTCATATTCCCCTTCTTCCCATAACTTCTGATGTTCTTAACATACAGACTAATATGCATGGATTGGGACAATCAATTTAGTATCACCCTAAATACTAAAGTATTGAAACCTGGATGTCTAGGATGAAAAAAAAGTCATTTCTTCAAAGATGTCCCTTTGCCAGTGTAGGGCTGATTTTTCAAATACCGTTTTCAGGTTGACTTTATGTGTGAACTGTGACTAGATTTCCACCTCTTTGGAGGACTTGTTCTGCATTCTGATTCACTGCAGGAAATTTTGTCCTTGTTCATTCTTAAGTTTGTATTACTGGTTTCATCCTATTACTTCCACTTATGTACCCTTTGTTTCATCTTCAGTAATTCTTCTCATCACCTGGTGTTTACATCCTTTGGATATGTATAGGCTACTACATGTTATCCTTCCTTATCGTTTAGCCAAGGTATATCCATTTATTTCTTTATAATCTTAAAAATCCCTTCTTTATTTTTTTCCTTCTTGCGATTCTGAGTATGTATATTCCTCCTTAAAGACATCAAAAGTGCCTGTGGTATTCTGATTTTGTTTAATGAAATGATGCTTCCACAGCTCCAAATTTACTTTAGCATTTTCATTATCTATTTATATTATAGACTCAAATCTCATTTACTGTTCACTGTCCTCTATTTGTCTTTTGGTATTTCAGGTTTTTTCAACTCGCAGAAGTTGTTTTATTTCTCTAGATGCGTTCCCATGGACTTTTTCAAGTCAAATTGCATGATATTATTTTTCTACGTTTATTTTTTTAGTTGTTTAAGTCACTTTTTTGCCAAGTACTCACTGGTGCTTTTTAGCAACACCCTTCAAATATCTACTGGTTATTGCATTAATGTGCTTCGTAATTGGAAGAGATGTTGCTACAGATAAAATTGGATGGACTTCTAATATGCTCAGTAAATGAATAATAGTTATCCCAACTTTTCATCTTGCCTTCCATTATTCGTTTTAACTCTGAACGGTTTTTAATCTGTATAATGATGTTAAAATTAAGTCCAAATTATTTCAAAAGAAATATTTAAAAGTATCAAAATCATTACTAAAATTAAGATAATTTAGTTTGAGATACTTCCATTATATCATTACAAAATCAGCAAGTTGATATGTCTTATTGCTAAAAGTAGTGTTTTGGTTGTGTTTCTAAACTACAACTATGACGTTAATGAAGGAAACATCTAGTTACTCAGTCTGTCCATCTTGGAAGTAAATTCTGGATTAAAAACTGGCCAAAGTTGCAGTAAGGGTACAGTTAAATACTCCTGTCTAATATTTCCAAGTTTTGAGGAAAATATTTATATAAAATGGGCCAATTACAAGTATCATTATAAAGACAAATAGTGTTGGTGGGTTGTGACAAAGCTTCATTTTGCAGTCTGCCTGCACACCCATTTTATCTCAGTGTTGTTTTTTTTTAAATATTCTGGGTTTGCAAGCTATTGTTATGCTTGTAGCCTATTTATGCACTAGATAGTTTCAGATTTTTTTTAAATGTTGAATTATTTCTACAACTCTGAATTAGTGCTTTAGACACACTAACTACTGGGATCTTTCAGCCCCTCTCCTCCCTGCCCTTGTCCCAGAGTTCAGGACTGTGTTTGTTTATTCAACTCTCTGCTGCCTTTTACCTTGTCTCTGATTAAAAAAAAAAAAATGGAGAGGAAAAGTAAATGTAGTCAGTTATTTCAGATTCATAGTAAAATCATCAACATTTTTCTGTGCTGCTCTTAAATAGATGGAAAATTGGATTTGTGCGTGGGGGAGGAGTGGGTGGCAATGTGAAAATCATGACTATTGATTGAGTTTGGCTGTAGGGGCCAAATGTCCAAAACCACCAGAACTGTTTCAACTGGTCATCAGTCCTGCTGGTGTTATGGGTGCTAACTAAAGAGAATTTTGTTCCTGTATTAAACCTTTGGATCTCTGGTCATCTCAAGGAACTTAAGCCCATCTCTTCTGTTCCTACTGCTTCAGCTTCAGAGGTTAACCCTCAGTTACTCTTCTTTAGTACCAACTGCTTCTCAGTTGATCAATATGGGGACAAATCTGTTTCCAGCAACATGTTGGGATGAGGAACTTCAGATCCAGATATAGGCCATTTGGGAGGGATGAGAGATAAAAGGCAGGGTCCTGAAAAATGGGCAGGAAAGAAAAATAACAGAGAAAGGAGAACTCGGAAGACGGCAACAAGAGGATACAGACGGAAGGAGCAAGAAATAAGGTAGGCCTTGGAAACTGGGTGTGGGATTAAGGGAAAATGAAGCACCAAAGAGGAATGGAGGACATTATTAAAAATAAGGAACTATCAAAGAAAAAATGGCAATGTGGCAGAGGAAAAACTCTACACACTGAATAGGAAGGTAGGTAACTGTACAGAAAGCTGGGGTGGGGGGAAATTTGTATCACATCACATATTTAAACTAAAAATCTTAGCCTTCCTTCTAGCTCTGTAATGTTTAATGTTACAAAAGATGAATGTTGTATTATCCTGCCTAATAAAGTGTGATCAGAGTGGGAGAAAGAAAAGCTGTCGCATTATACTGTGACATGATAGCTAGAAATAATAGCAATAAAAGAGGAATTAAATTAACTGGGAAGGATATCGGGAAATGTTAGTAGTGAATATCACTGATAAAGCATTATTAGCATAATAAAGCAGTGTCCTATTAAGAAGCTATTTTTCAGATTTGCAGTACCAATTAACTCTTCCATGTTTCCTTCCCCTCTTCCTTTAATTATTAAAAGCTGTCATCTTAGTAAGAAAATTTAGTTATTTCAGCAGGAGTCATTTCTCTCCCTGTATAGGAATGGCTCTTACATACCATATTAGTGATATGTTTTCAAAGATATTTCAGCTGGCTATTAAGGTCTCAGGTTTCTTTTTTTTTTTAACCCAGCTTTTTTTCCCTCTGAAGGACTTAACTGATCTTTTGCATTCACATTTGCTGTTTCCCTTTAATAAAGATTTTAAGTGGTGCCCTTTCCGTGGAACCCTTTAAGAACTATATTTGCAAATCTGTATCTCAGCTTTGAGTTTCATGATCTTAAATGTGATGTATGTTAGATTTCCCAATGTACTTTCACAGCAGTGTTTTTTCAGTTGTCTTTATGGTCTATCACTCACAAGTTTTAATAAAAAAACCCCCTACATTTCTGAAATCTGTTATGTTTGGGTTCTAATGGTGCATTATAAAGTGAGGAATAAATAAACAAGCCTTCCTTTCTGCTTCCCCTATTATCATCTTTTCAGTATTCTCCAGCCTGATTAGCAAGTAGATACAGACTAGCTTTATTCCTTCATCCCAAGCTTACAGATTGTTAAACCTTTGTTGTAAAGGAGACCCTAGGAGTAAACAAGACCCTTTAATATCCTTTTGGATATTTTGATAACTGACGCTTGGTTCAAGGAACTTTGGTGTTCTCCTCCAAATTGTGGAGGAGGAAGGTGCTCACTCTGTTTACTTTTGTTTCATATATATGTTTACAAAGTATTCCAACACTTCAGTGGAAACATCCCTATTGTATAATGTCTGTCCATTCAGCTTTTAGCCTCTGTACTGCACAGTTTTTACTTTCTAAAAATTCACTTACGCTTTTATCATCTTGTCAGATTTCTGTTATGCTGGCTGAGCACACTGTCTCATTTACTGTCACTTCTAATTAGTCCTAAATTTCAACAATCCTCATTTTCCTGCACATCATTTTTCGTCCAAAATTTTCTAAATCTTCTGTTGCAGAACAGCTCTGGTCTTTGTATGCTGCAATATGGTAGATGGGTATGCAAGACATTTGATCGGTGTCTTGCTGTGATTACTGTCTTTTTGCTTTAATGCATCCTGACCCAAATGTTTTCTGAAATAGTTCCTAACATTGACTGGATGAAGGATTTATGTTAGTGGACCTAATATTTGTTGTTTCTCCTTTGTATGGGTCAGGCCATTCTCTGGTTAATTTTGAGTATTTTCATATGTTCACAGGTGTTGGTGTCTTAAACAATTTATTGTATGCAGTAGGTGGTCATGATGGTCCTTTGGTAAGAAAAAGTGTTGAAGTGTTTGATCCTGTCGCCAGTACATGGAAGCAGGTTGCAGACATGAACATGTGCAGAAGGAATGCAGGTATACACAACGATTACTTTAAAATAGTGGTAATATGTTTTGGTGTAAATGCCATCTTCCTGGATTTCTGCTGCTTTCATGGTGTCGCAGAGTAGAAACCATGTGTTTTGGGGGCGAACAAGCCAACTGCTAGTTTTCATATTGGTTTCCTGTCTTTTTTTAGGTGTTTGTGCTGTAAATGGTCTCCTGTATGTAGTTGGTGGAGATGATGGTTCCTGTAATTTATCGACAGTGGAATATTATAATCCAACAACTGATAAATGGACAGTTGTGTCATCTTGTATGAGTACAGGAAGAAGCTATGCAGGTAATGTGTATAGATCTTTTTTTTTAACAGACTTTTTACAGTATTGCAGCTAGGATAAGAAATTTGACAAAGCATCCAAACAAAGTCCTGTCTAAGGTAAAACTGAAGATACTAGAATGAGTATGAAGAATCTGATGGTATGTTTTGAATGATGTCTTCAAACAATTATTCACTACAATGGAAAAAATGGTATTACATGGTACTCAGGAGGGATTTAGCATGTAAGAGGTGAGTCAGAAAGATGACTCTAGTGTGACCAGTCTTTTTTTAAGAAGAGATTTGTGCCTCAATCTATGGGTCCAATTCTAAAGTTCTTCAGGATTTGATATTTAGAAAACAAGAGCTGTTTCCAGAGTCTTTTCCTTCAACAATTGCCGTTTCTCAAATGAGTTATTTGAGTGAATGTTAAGGATATATTTCACTGGTAACAAAATTAAACTTCAGTAATGGGAAACTTTTTCAACTCATAGAAACTTTCAGAACTTTGCACTGGTACAGACAACTTTGTCAGAGAGAAATTAGAGAAAACATGAACACTGATGCTATTGCACAGTTTTTTGATGTTATACTAGTTGCAAGGTATTATATTAAAACTTGATTTTCATATTCTTGATGTTTTTTTTTAAATACTACCTAAAAATATATGCCTTTTTTTCCTTACTCTAGGTGTTACAGTTATTGACAAACCATTATGATCAGTAAAGGGATTTTCAACTTGATTATGCACTAGAAGCAGTCTTCAACAAGTGTATTTGAAGTGACTGAGTATCTAAGCACTTCTCTACTTGTAGCTGCACCTTGAGTCACAGTGGAAGATGTGACTGTCTACAATTACAGATGACAGATGATGAAGATTACTCTAGGTAGAAGCAGTGCATAGGATTATTCTGCAGTTGAGCAGAAGCTGATTGAATTTTTGAAGTCTAGTGGACCATTTCTTTTTTTATTGCAAAGGTCTTAAAAAAAAAAAAGAGCCACTTTCATAAGGACCGACTTATGTCAGTCACGACTGAGAAACAGATTGTCAGTGAAGAATGGTGTCTATTCTGGTGAAAGTAAATTTTTGTCTTATTTTTTCCAGAGACTAATAAGTATATTTAAATAAATGAACCATCAATCTTCATAATAGATATTGAATCCCACCTCAGTAATTCAAGCTGGCATGGGGTAAATGTTTTCTTTTATAAAACTTTTGTTACATAGCTATAATATGTGCATATGTTTGTGTGAGCATAAGTTGCTTTCTATTAAAATACTTCAAAATCCGATTTTACTATTTATAATTTGGCACAGTACTTTGAATATGCCAGTACTATGTTGTAAAACAGAGTTGTATTTTTTGATATGTAACAATGCTTAATACTACTAATTCCCACTGAAAGAATGATCGGAGATGATATAACACTTCTTGAACAGGTGTAATTTCAAGATCTTTTTAATAAAAATGTTGTCTGTACTTCTGATTTTTTTTTTTCTGTTCCATTTTGGTCATGTTTAGATGTTACTTCTTTCTTACCTTTTTATCCAAAAGGTGATTTGGCATGAAAATAACTGAAAACTTATAATGAATGTATGAAATTGCATTGAACTTGCATGGTACTAAGGCCTGTTTATGCGTGTAACCTTAGCTTCTATTAGCTAATATCAGAGTATACTGTATGTGGCCATGCTTATAAAGCAGCTCATTTTTATTTGTTCTTGGATGGCCTCCTTTTAACATGACCAAAGTTATTGTCATATTTGAGACATTTTCTTCAAATAAAAGTTTGTATATTGTTTCCTAATGCCAATGAGTTGCTTAAAACTTGTGTTTCTCAATAGTCTCAAACCAAATGATTTTGGCATCAGTGAAGAGATTTTTGGGATGGGGGATGGAGCCAGGGAAGCTGGCGATCTGAATGCAAGCAAATTGAAAAGAACTTCTTAAGGTTTAGGAACTGGTCATGTAAAGATCACTGGTTAGCTTGCAAGTTTGCTTCTGAAAGCTGTGGTTTTCAGTTAGCTAAGGTAGCAGCCACCTCCAAGTTCCAGTGGAACTATGTGAGCTGTGAAATTAATATGATGGTTAGGAGTAACATCATTTTTTTGGCAGGTGCTGAAATTAAATGGATTGCATTTTACTGTTGATACTGCATGATGCATTCTGGGTTTGGGTAGTGGGTTTCACTAGAAACAGCTTATTTGAATTGTACATTTGTGTTATTTGTAGAATTTTACCTTCATGATAGTAGACTCCATGAATAGGGTTCTGATCCATGACATACCCTTGTATTTCAATCCTTTCACTTACTTAAGCCGGGAAGCCCGTGTGTAGACAGGCGGCCTCTACCCGTGGCCCGCGGCTGCGGGCAGCGCTCGAAGGGCCGAGGCTGTGTGCACGAAGGCGAGTGCCGCTCCTCCCGGAAAGGGAGAAGACCGAGAGTCAGGCCGGAGCCCCACCCTGCCGTGTGCTGCTCATGGCAAAGGGCCAGCGCCGCTTGAAACCAGGCGGCAGGAGAAGCGCCGATGAAGAACGATGGCTTCCCTCATACCGGCCGCCGCCGCCCCGCGGGCCGCGCTCCGACTCCTCC